ACACACAAAAAGAAACACACACAAAAAAGAAAAAAGACACAGGAAACGAAAAAAAGAAGGAACGAACGGTGAGAACAAGGCCGCTCAAGCAGGGCCGTTTTGGGAGCAAGAGCGCCCCTTTTTTGCCCGCGAGGGCAGAGCCGAGAGCGGTGGGCGGAGCGAATGACGTCGACAGTCGTGAAAGGAGGGGGGAGCAGCGGTAGTGGTGGGGAGTGTAAGCTCGTAAATAGGCGTGTGTTGGTACGTTCGTGAGGCGTTTAGTACTATGTAGACCAAGGTTGGTATCATTGAAAGGTTTTATCTATTCATTTAGTCACTATAGTCCATTCGAAAATCGCAAAAATTGAAAAACTAGCACTTGTTAACAGAGGAAGAGTGTAAGTTTGGCGCGGTGCTCAGGAGTTTGCCCGAGGGGCGGTGTTTCACTTGCCCCGCCCAAATCTTCCACCAGGCGGTGCTACATGATCCGATTCGTCGATGTTATCGTGTCAGAGAAGGTTTTTGGGGATACGACCCAATCAGACCCACATTCCTTCCACGGGCAAACTCCTGAGCTCTACACAGTACCATTGCTGACTTTTTTCAACACATGCCTATCTTCGAAACACAGTGCTCGCTCGCTCTTCGGTCGGGCGATCTCTACAGTTTTTGGCCAAAAAATTAGGGCCACTCAGAATTATCAATATCTTTCGTGTTTCGACAATATATGGAACTCAAACACTGTCTTGTTGAATTGTGAGTGGCCCTAATTTTTTCGCCAAGGGCTGTACTATATTCGTACAGTTCCCCCTCCACAGGATCGTTGCTCATGTAGGCGTGGCCTACTGCTCGAAGCAACTTCGCGAGTGGTCCAGGGGGCAAGAAGGCGTTTTTGTACCACCTACCTGTGCGACAAATGTAATCGCCAGGTGAGTAGAGAACGTGCCGCAGTTTTAGCACAAGCTCGCGCAGGAAGCCAGCCTCCGTGTTCTGAAAGATCGACATCTTCTGCAGCGTGTCCAGGTACACGTGTATCGCGACCTCAGCTTTCAGTTTGTCTGCAACGGTTCCAACGATAAGATTATTTTAGGAGCTGCAACTTTTCCGCCTCCTATCTGTTCCGTTCGTTCGCTGTGAAATCTTGATATCTCTCGAGTGGAACGGGAAGCTTCGAGCCGAAAGATGCAATTCTCGAGACTGGAAAGAGCTTCCGCGAAGGATTCAGAGGTTGGTTGATCTTTACTTCTTCTTCTTCTACGCTACCAGCGCGTTGTTCAGTATTTTCACCGATCAGCGAGTTTGCAGGAAATATCTGATATATACGAATTCTCGATATTCGGGTATCGCGAAAGGGTTAAATGGAAAATATAAAAATGCAGTAATACGGTAATTTCGAAAACGTTAACAGTGCAACACAGAGAAAAGTATGTGTAATTTTTCTTGGTAAAAGTACCACTTTAAAATATAGAGAACACAATCGATTTGTCAGATTTTATTCTAAAGATTCGAACTTTTAAAATAGATACAAATCAGATCACTCGTTTCGAGAAAGTCACAATGGTTAGGAAAACATTCACGTGAAACAATTAGAAAATTACTTATGATCGTACTCTATGTCCGAGCAATTAGCGAGAGTGTAAGAAAAACTGCAAATAGAGCGACGAGGATTCATCAATCGTAAGAGCATCGTGCTTTTGTACAGCAATGTTAGATTACATACGACGAGGACCATTTTCATGAAAAAATTTCGGAGATAGGATGGTCTGTTTTACCTCGTCCTCTTTGCTCAGTGGACCTAGCCTCTACCGATTACCATTTGTTCTGTTCCCTTTATTTAAAACGCTTCAAATGGGAAAAGCATCACGAGTGACAAGTCCAGGAGTTCGTTGTAGAAGCTTTTTCTTTCCATGAAAACAAGCCAATATTAACGAGCAGAATCAGCAAACGGGAATAGGAAAGGGTTCTCTATTCTGTATAATGGAGTATATATTTGAGATTAAATTGTAAAATTGCAAATAAATTGTGAATCAACCTAATATGCAGCTATTTTAATTGTTATTATTCTATAGCTTCTATATAACATCTGAAACAAAAATTTAAACATTTCTGTTCTGTACAATGGGGTATATTTTCGATTAGTCACGGATCAAATTAACATGCTGCTATTTTAACTGTTATTTTAAAAATTTTCTCAAAATTGAAATTTTTGACGCTCGAAAGATGTTTACAAAGGCGAGATTCAGCGATAAACCGTTGAACAAGGAGGCTTCGAAACAATGTACATTTTCGTCGAGTAAAATAAGAAACGAAGATTCCTGTGTGCATGATTTTAATGAAAGACGAAATAAGATTGCTGCAACGGCGGAATAAGGTAAATCCGGTGAAATAAACCTTAATACTCAATTCATATTTATGAGGAGAAATAAGGAAAAGAGAAGAAGGAATTACTGAGGAGGAAGAACATCGTGCAGGATGCTAAATGCTCTGGAAAAGGTTGTAGAAATAAATTGATGCACTTCCAAGTAGTATTTACCGATTTGTGCATACGTGAAATCGTTAATAAAACATTAATATATGTGTCACCTTTTTTCTTTTTTAAACCAACTTACAAAATTTTACGTACCCTTTTGTATACCTTTTTATACATATATATATATAGTAGATGGATTTTCTATAATTATACAAACTATTTTATAAACGTGAATCACAATAGAGTTAATTTCATTAATTATAAAATTCATTTTACTTACTGTGGAAATAATTCGATTTGAGAAAGAAAAATTCAAGATTTTCATTTAAACAACAGCTACGATTCTTTAGGTAGAAATTTAGAAAGAGACTTACCGGGAAGACAGTTGATAGCCTTATCCTCCTCGGAACACTTCTGTGTTAACCAAAGATAGTCGAACCACTTGATCACCTTTATCTGAAGATCCTGTGGCACTCTCCTCAATCTCATGTACGCTTTCACGCCGTCCAGCTTTGCTGCAACCGACAAAAAGTGAACATAGGTTATTACACGTGCGATATATATGTGACGTTAATTAGTTTAAATAAAAATTTCATCGATCATTGGCGAAAGATAAAGCTGAAATTGAAGATTAGGTATTTCTGGGTTTCATCTGGTTTTATCATCCCTTAAAATTTTTTGCACCTTTTTCGAGAACATTCTGTAGAAGAAATGCATTTTTTAGTCAAAATTGTCTGCAGAGAAAATTGTCTTACTTAGAAAATGTAATAAAGAGAGGCAACCTAAATGTTTGTAAAATATTTACAAAAATATACCTTTTTGTTTACACAACACAAATTTTTAATTTACCATCCCTCAAAAAGATCTTCTTCGTTTATCACACGTTTCGTGCAAATCGCAAAAAATTTTGCAAAAATAATAACAATTCACTGCTGAATTTAATTTTCCCGAACGATGCACTTCCCATAGATCATTCTAAACGATCCTTTTTTGAAATCGAAGCGTAGAATATATCAAATGCAAGCAAATATTAGAACACATTCTATTTTATAGGAAAAATGAAATTCGCTGAAAATTTCATACGTGAATATCTCGCGATAACTTCCTCACAAAGCTGATGTTTGACGCTTGAATTAATTAGTGACGTCTGTATGGGACCTCGGGAGAGGCAGGAGATTTATCAATGTACCGAATAAAGCTCTCTGTACATATATATATGTATATACATCACAATGACATTTCGTTGAAACTGATTTCGCTAGGCGCGCTAGTTGGTAATTTATGAAAATTAAATAACAGGGCGCCAGGCGGACATTATCGCGTCCTCCTGTGGCAAATTCGTTGAAATCATACGAGACCGAATGCATCGCGTCCGAATTCTGTTTTTACGGATGCTTTCAACCTGCTCTCTTCTCATCGTGTTAATGCTTTTATGTCCCAGGTTTGCCGGCGCTGAGATAACAACGAAAATAAATAACGCAAACTGCGTTAAATGCAAGGACGTCATTTAAATTGTATCAGATTTTGTGGAGTAAATGACAATTCTCGTAGGTGTCTATTGAAAATAACGAAAGACACCGTTTGCATTATCATTTGCAAGCTCGTAGATCAACAAGAGAGAACATATAAATCTCTGTATTCCAGGGACGAAGTGTCTCTTTTTTAATCTCACAAACGAGAAAATTCTAGCTCGTGCAGATTTTTCATCGAATTTCAACGTTATTGCGAGGACAGTTTATCTAGACTTTACCTGAAAATCCCATTGAACGGGTTTCGACGTGCTTCTGTGGATTTTTACGAGTAGGAAGGTGTAATATCGTTCCGCGATTTACGCTGGATTTTTATCACGAGATAAGTTCGTAAAATTGCGTCGCCTCGTGGTGGCAGTTTCTCCGCTAGACACGGCCCTGAGATAGGCGCCGCGTGGAAGCCTGATCTACGCCGGCGCTCGAAAGTTGCCTGCTTCAGGGGCAATTTGCAATTGTCGATAATTCGTAATTAACGAAGACACGGACGAAATTTCTCCATCTACAGTTCACATACACAGAGATTTGCACAAAAATTGATTAACAATTGGCAAGAAAAATGAACGAAACAAAAATTTTTAATGCACCATGTAAACAAAGGACTTTTTCTTCAATTCTTCATAGGATCGAATGTTAGAAGGCAGATTTATTCTTCGTTGTTTCGTTGATAAAATTATTTCAACATTTTTAGCGATATAATAGAATTGCCTATGTAGAGAAGGGAGAGAAAAATTTTAGGATAACTCGAGAAACTTCTCCTTCCAGTCACCTGATGATATCGATTTCACCTATCTGCGATCGATCGCGAGCGCCTTTGCACCCTCTTCGCGTTAATAAAAACAAAAAACAAAAAAAGAGAAATAGCGGGGCTGACTCCGTAGAACCTTAAGCGGAGAAAAATATGATCACTTATCTAGAGAGTACTGTATACAGTAGAAAATATTTCTCAATATACGTTTTACGACAACGTGATAAAAAACTGCCGTCTTTAGCCCTTGATACTGCAACGTGTTAGGTGAGGAAGAAGTGGAGAAGGGTTACTTATAATCGCGCTAAATTTGAACGATTTGGGAAGAAAGCAAATGTTTAAAAATATTCTTCTACGACGTATCTGAAAGCACATCTTAATGTAACTCTGGTTTTCTTACATAAATTCATTTCTCTGCATTGTTTCACATATTGGTCAAGTGTGATTTTAAATTTACACATATAGACACATGTTTTCCTAAATATTTCATTTTTACAGGATTTCATACGAATGAATTAACGCAGTATTTTTTAAATATTTAATAAATTAAAAACGTATACAGACATTGTGATAATGACTTATAAGTTACAAATTCTTCTTCAAATTTTCTTAAAGTATTCTATATCCTTACACATATCACTCACTAGTTGTACGTTCAGAAATACTCATAAATTTTTCTCCTTTCCAAATATATCCCCTATTTAAAACACCTCTATAATTCATAAACAAAACTTGTTTAGCATTTTTTTCACGACCAAAATACTCTTCGTTTTTTTATAGAACGTATTGCAAAGTTTGTCTTTGTTAAAGAAAATGACGACAAATCGTGAATTAACGTTAATGAACAATGTGTCCATTCTATTGTCAAAGAACGACTGGAGAAATTGTTTAAAAGATTCGATCGATCGATTCTAATCCTTCGGAAGATACGTATGCTTACGTGTTTCAGAAAGAGTTCTGCTTTATTCGTAATTTACATTGATCCCAGACTTCCCGATACATACTTGGATAATCGTTGTCATATATGCACGCGACTCCCTTTGAATACAGGATTTTCAGCCCTCTGAGATTTTCGAGAGCGTATCGTGTTCTCAACGTTCCGCCAGTAATTGAATATTAATGACTTTAACAAGCCCTTGATATAATTAGTAGACATGTTAGCGAAACATTGGGATCACTTTCCTACAGGACGCGGATCACGTTCGGAAGTTTCGGGGAATTGCATTTCGTTGGGAGAGTTTCAAATATCTCTCGGTACATTTGCATATATAAACTCTTGCAAAAATTAATTTCCAATTATGTAATTTGCTGTTTAAATCGTATCGAATGCAACGGTATTACGCGATCCATTTTATAAATTTTTTTAAAATACGTATGAAATGATTTGGAAGAAAGAGTGCTCGTTATGACTCACTGATAATCAAAGAATGTAAGAAAATTGTTGCTGAAAATTACTGTTTTTTTTTTATATGTTTTCAATATCCTGCAAAGAGATAAAACATTTGATCGTAAGTTAGTACTTAAGCTAGCAAGTTTTGAAATTCCTCGTAAGAAACTTAAAAAATTTCCAAATTTTTTTCCAATTCCTCGATATTCCAATTCTGATCACTGATTAGTTATCAGCACGGTTAATTAATGATCAAAAAATTAAAGTATGAAAGAAACGAAGAATTGTATCATCAGTTAGTACTCAAGTTAACAAGTTCAAAATTCCTTGTTAACAGTAAATTCTTATAAGTTGTCGTTTAATACTAATATCCTAAAATATAAAATTTCAAAAAACTTCCAATTCCTCGATATTCCAATAAATTTGATCACTGATCAGTTATCAGCACTCTTAATTAATACCCAAAAATTAGAAAATCAACAAGGTGAAGAATTTTATCGTTAATCAATAACTCTCGAGCTAGCAAGTTGCTCTCCAAAAAGCATTTTAAAAATTCCTCGTTGTAGTATACTTTTACACACTGTCGATCAATATCAATATTTTCCATTTTTCCATTAATATCGATATTCCATCAAATCGTCATCATAAATATTCAACTTCGCCAAAGCACAAGAGACAATCAAGTGAAGCATCACCGGCAACTTTCCACTCTCCTATTATTCATTTCACCAAATTTCCAAACTTTTCTCCAATTCTTCAATATTCCACTAAATCACCACGTCGGTAAATATTCAAATTCACCAACGCGCAGGAGATAATCAAGTGAAGCATCACAGGCAATTTTTCATTCACCTATTATTCATTTCGATTTACTCTCTCTATTCTCCCCGAAACATTTACTCTACATACATCCACGTGCCTAAAACGAACTCGAAAAATCTGAACACCCAGTACATACATCTGTATCTCTAGCGTGAGAACGGAAACGTCGGTATTTCATACAGGTCTGGACATTCCACGTCATAAAAAAGAATTCCACAGACAGGTGCGCGTAATTACTAGTTTTTTCTCCGTGCCGCCTTTTTCGTTAGACGTGTATTCAGTTGGATCCGAGTTTTTTTTTTACTTTCCTTCCTTTTTTTTTTTCGGGAGAGGTGCTTTTTCTCTTTTCGAAATGCGCGATTTTTTCGTTCTTTCTTTTTTCACCCGACTGGCATTTTAATGTCCATCGTACCAACGGGTGGACGTTACACACTCGCGCGAAATAAAAGCACTCGAAGCTGCAAGGACTAACGACCGATACGTGCTTGCGCCAGAAATCCGCGGTCTTCGTGGCGAAGCGTAATTTCGCGAGCGTTACGCTCGTAAAAACCGGCTCTACACCACCGAGCTCAAAGAGAGCCCGAGGGGCTGTGAACAGGCGGCGTTCAAACCAGCCCCGAGGACGTTCCCAGCACCGGAAGTATCGATTCGCACGAGACCACACGTTTCGAGATCTTCAACGATCTTCTAATTGTCTTTGTTCCAGCCAGCGATAATCACCGGCTGACCACCTTGTGTCCCGAGTGTTTAAATTCGAGGTTTTAACGGAGGCCCTCAGAGAGGTACTATTTTTCGGTGCAACGAAGAAATCGGGTGATAATGTTCGGGCGTATCGAAGTGAGTGTGTTGTATTTAATTTTAATTAACGGTGGATTGCTTCAGATTTGGTTATTAGTTAAAATTTATATTTTTTTTTAAATAAAGTTTGTTTAATAAGAAAATTTGGAAAAATAAATTAACGTTTCATTTAATGTTTGGTGTAGGTATCAATTTAATTAATTAGTACTTAAAGTTAAATTATATTCCTGGATA